GGTGATCTGATCTATATGAATGCACCTGCCAATTGCCTGGTCAAGTTAGATGCCGCCTATCACAGTGCACTGAGATTTGTGACAAACTGTAAAGTATTAACCCATCACTGTACCCTGTATGCAAGGGCAGGTTTGCCTTCACTAACTGTACGGAGGCTCAGTCACTGGTACATTTTTATATACAAAGCCATGTTAGGGAAACTTCCTTCCTACATCTGCTCCCTGATCTCACGGCGAATTGTAAGTGGCTACTGCCTAAGATCGAATGCTGTTGTTTTATTAAATGTGCCAACTGCTAGGACTGTCTTAGGGAAGATAGCATTTAGATGCGCAGCTCCGCTAACTTGGAACAGTCTGAGCAATTTGGTTCCGCTAAATGTTTTTAAAGCAAGGATAGATACTATCCAATCGGAAACTGTTGGAACCTGTAAATGTTACTAGCTATGTAAACTGTAGTCACTGTAAATATGCTGTATGATGTCCTTTTTTGTTTTTCTGTTATGTTTATATGTATTCATGTGGAACCTACTTGCAGTAGGTCACCCTTGAAAAAGAGATCAATGATCTCAATGGGATTCACCTGCATAAATAAAGGTTTGAAATGAAATGAAAGATTTTTTTTATCAGAACATGCATTTCTCCTCATTGTGAACATATATTGCACTCATGTTCAGAATATATGGTACGTACATGGTCTTTTATAAATCTGAATATATATAGTGCATACATGTCCCCATATAATTGTGAATATATAGCGCATACATATCCCCATATAATTGTGAATATATATAGTACATGTCCCCATATAATTGTGAATATATTCTGCATACATGTCCCCATATAAATCTGAATATATAGAGCATACATGTCCCCATATATTTGTGAATATATATAGTACATGTCCCCATATAATTGTGAATATATTCTACATACATGTCCCCATATAAATCTGAATATATAGTACATACATGTCCCCATATATTTGTGCATATATATATAGTACATGTCCCCATATAATTGTGAATATATTCTGCATACATGTCCCCATATAAATCTGAATATATAGAGCATACATGTCCCCATATATTTGTGAATATATATAGTACATGTCCCCATATAAATGTTAATATATAGTAAAATGTATGTTCACATATATACACAACCAATATATTATATATATTTACATATATTACTCAATATATGGAAAGCGGCAATTACTGATGTATTATCCCATATATTACAATATATTATCACAATATATTATTCAATATATATATATTGTAATATATTAACACAATATATTATTCTATATATCTTCAATATATTTTCAATATATTTTGTAGATATGAATAAATATGTTTTTCATGTTGATTATTAATCAGTATCACTTGGTGTAGCCAACAGCAAGATTTCCTTTATTAAATCTTTTCAATTAACCAGTAAATCAGAAAACAAAATAATGCAATATATTGACAGTTAATATATGGGGAAATATATTTTCTTTGCGTAAGGGAAACTTAACGTTAGCTTTCTAGCTAACACAACACATTCACGCACCTTTCTCTGTGGGTTTTTTGTAGTGACGAATGAAGTTGGATGTTGTGGTGGTCCTGTCACCGATCTTTATGCTGCAGACCCTGCATACTGCTGTTCTCTTCTTATTAGCGTCATCGACAACATAATCCTTGAATCCAAACTTCACTATTTTTGGAGTAACGCTAGCCGCTGCCATGTTAACTGACACTCCTGCCGTCTAGTGGGTTGCCAGGTTTGCGCGCACGGCGCTATAATCACCCAATCACGTTTTTCGAAAAAACTAAACGTAATATCTCACTACAAAAACAAACGCAAATATTTAATTTTAAACAGTCAAGTCCTTTCAAGTCATCTGTCTCAAGCTTAAGTCAAGTCTCAAGTCATGAATACCAAGTCAAAGTCAAGTCAAGTCTTTTATCAATGTTTGTCAAGCAAGTCTCAAGTCAAAAAATATGCGACTCGAGTCTGACTCGAGTCAAGTCATGTGACTCGAGTCCCCACCTCTGGTTATTAGTATTAAATACATATAAGTATTTTTACAGCTTGTATTTAGAAATACTCTGTTGTAATTATTGATGCATAAATGTGTTCATCCATTCAATGTGGCATCTGCTATAATGGGGTTAATGTATGATATTACTTAATAATACAATACACTATATAATATATGATATGATAATTACATTTTAATTTGATTCATTTCTTATTTCATAGTTTCTCATCATTATTATAACAGTTCTGTTTCATATGAGTGTTGAGAGCTGTATCCATAAATCTCTTAATTTTGCCCTCAAAGTGCACCAGATTGATGCATTTAACTTCAATTTAAAGAAAAACATCTTCTGTTGCCAAAGTGCTGTACATATAATAAAAATACCCTAAAGTAAAGACACTTTACAGCAAATACAACAGCACAGTTTGTTCAGAATATCAGTATGAGTATGAGCACCCTCTGTCCTTAGACCCTCACATCGTACAAGGAAAAACTTCCAGAAAAACCCACATTTCAAAGGGAAAAATGGGAGAAACCTCGGGGAGAGCAACAGAGGAGGGATCCCTCTCCCAGGATGGACAGAAGTGCAATAGATGCCGTGTGTAAATCGAAGAGATAATACATTTTACAGCGTAGGTAGACCGCATGACAAATAAAGAAGTGTAATGTAAACATTTACATTATTATTATGATTATTTAATGTATAAAGACTATATATTATTGAATTACAAGATTAGATATACTTTATTTGATCTAAAATATTGATGTGTTCAAATGCTCTTCTAAACAAAACTTAAAGTCCATGAAAAGTTGTCTTTCTGTATTTGTGAATGAAGCGCCATCTCCTGGTTAAATCCTGAAATTGAAAATCTGGCAACGCCCTCTTGGAAAATAGTGGGAGGGCTTAACATTCCCAGATGCTGGTCTTAGGCAGGTAGCAGGCAGGTAGCTGGCAGGTAGCAGGCAGGAAGCTGTAAACTGGAGTCTGAAATAAGCTGCTACATCTGTACATGTTCTTGATACCGTTCAACAATTAAGAATACATTGTTAAAATGTATTGTTTGCTGTCTCCCTGCAGTTATTGGTGAGCTTTAAAATTGTGTCAAGAATTTCTGGTAATCTGTAAATTACCAGAATGACATGAAGTATACTATAATAAATTGTTTTACAGTTACAATACTGATACTGTAACTTAAAATGATTGCATTAACGTTTCTATTTTACAGTTGAAACACTATTACCATAAACAAAAATACAGTACTTTTTAAATGGCAGTGTTTTATTTTATAGTTAAAATACTATTACCTTAAACAAAAATACAATGCTTGGAAATTACTGTGTTTTATTTTACAGCTATAACACTACTGCTGTAACAAAAAATAAAGTAATTAAATATTACTGTTTCATTTTACAGTTAAAACACCATTACCGTAAACACAAATACAGTACTTGGAAGTTACTGTGTTTCATTTTACAGCTATAATACTACTACTGTAATACCAAATAAAGTAAATGGTATTTACAGTGTTTCATTTTACAGTTAAAACACTATTACCGTAAACATAAATACAGTACTTGGAAGTTACTGTGTTTCATTTTACACTGTTACTGTAAATAATCAAATCAAATCAAGTTTTATTTATATAGCACATTTATAAACGATTTTTGGTCGAGCCAAAGTGCTGTACAAATAAAAAAACGACACCCTCTGTCTTTAGACCCTCACATCGTACAAGGAAAAACTTCCGGAGAAAAACCCACAGTTTAAAGGGAAAAAATGGGAGAAACCTCGGGGAGAGCAACAGAGGAGGGATCCCTCTCCCAGGACGGACAGACGTGCAATAGATGCTGTGTGTAAATCGAAGAGATAATACGTTTTACAGCATAGGTAGACCAAATGTTTGGAAATGCATGTGTCTATAATAAGAAGATGAATCCACGAGGATGTCAACAACAATCCTGTGGGAGCCTTCAGGGAAGCAGCATGACGAGAGCCAGGCAGGACCGCAGAGACAGGCCCAGCCACGACCCGAAGTCCACGACTTAATCCAGAACTCAGGGTAGAGGATCCAGGGCACAGGACCACAGCAAGAGGATCAGCCTCGACTCCGGATCCCGGCGTCGATATAGACACAAAAGAAGAAAAATTTGGCTGGGTTAATCGGAACATGAGAATACACAGACACAGACAGACAGAAGGAAGAACAAGCACTCCCTTAGGATAGGTTAAGGGAAAAGGGTAGCAAGTAAGAGAGTAAGAAACAGAGGTGGAGAGGCACACGCAGGGAACAAAGTCCCCACTGGAGCCTGAGTTGGAAATTGGTGAGAGATAAAAACTTGTAAATGCTGTGATTACCTTTACAGTATTTAACTGGCAGCAATTGACAAGTTACTTACTGTAATTCATTTTACAGTATTTAACTGGCAACAATTGACAAGTTACTTACTGTAATTCATTTTACAGTAAGTAACTTGTCAATTGCTGCCAGTTAAATACTGTGAATTTCACTTCTTGTATTTTTATCTTGTCAATAGATACTTGATTTGATTGATTGTTGATTTTCCCAAAATACAGTACTGTTTTCGAATATGTGTTTATATTGCAAAAAAAAACCGAAATAATATTTTCTAAGCTAGTTTATTTGTATCTCATTATATAAAAGTTGTAGTAGAGTATTTTTGAATGTTTGCACTTACCAAGAAAATACAAATATATTTTGTTTATTTTCAGTTATTATTGAACTTTCATGGCTCAAGTGCTATGCAAATACTTATTATTGCCGTTTTTACTTTAAAAAATAGCATTAATAATAACAGTTTTAAATTATAAAATCCTATGGTAATGATATCTGATATTTCCCTGCATAACTGACATAGTTAAAAAATACTGCATAACAATATTTCAAAGAAAATAAATATGTATTTGAACATAAGTCAAAAGGAGTAAAGTATGTCCCTCTTTTATGTTTAGGTCCATGCAATGTTAGAGTCCATCTCGTGCAGTTTCACAAAGTGGAACAAACACATGATGGATACGAGAGACTACCAGGTGTCCTTCACCTTCGGACCATGTGACCACTAACAGGAAGTCAGCCTGCGTGTCCTCCTACTCGACTTCATCTCCAAAGCTGTAAGAGGCTTATATATTTTCTTTAACATGTGTCCTGTTAGAAAAGTCAGGTCAACTTTAACTACTGACATTGACACCAATAAATTGGATCAAAGCTAATCTGCCACTTTTTTTTTTAATTTAGTGGTCAAGATTATAGTTTCTGAAAAACAAGAAGGCTTACACCATAGCATTTTCTTAAATAATGGCTAATTGATAAGTGCAGTGATATGACTCAGTTTGCCTGTCTCAATATTTTCCAGGGTTTCACAATACACAACACACGTGTTCATCACATGAGTGAACGGGCTAATGAGAACACAGTAGAACATCACTGGACGTTCTGCAGACGAGCTCGCAAAGTTGAATACTGACAGATGAACTGATGGATGAACTCAATGTATGGAGAAAAATTAAGACACAAAGACTGTGTTGGCTTTGTTGTTATGTCGTGGATCCGATGTAACACTCACAACATTAAAGTATAAGACAAAGAGGACACATTAAAAACACAGACACAGAGATGGTTGAAGTTAAATATTATATTGCTGTACAGCAGTATAAGAGACAAATTACCTTGCACCACACCAGTCAAGAGCCTATGCCTCAGTATAGTCAGTTCCCAGTTACTTTTCCATTAACAATAGAGTGGTGCAGGGATAACGTATTTACCCGGAAGTAAGCTGCGCATGGGTTACCTCAACAAAAAAGCAATGGGATTTCTCCATAGGATTTTGGAAAATAGCTCGAAATAAGGTCTGTGGAAAACGAACCTGTTTGATAAATGCACATTTTGTTCAGCCCGATAATATCCACATGTCTACCCTACTTTTATAATTTTTGAATCGTAAATCTAATCGCCAGAAGCAAAATGCTAACGTTATGCTATAAACGAACTACAGCCGAGGACAGCAGAGTCGCACGACTTCAACGTCACGCCAACTTAAGATCGATATTCAAAAATACATTCAAAATTGTACAAGTTGAAGCGTTGGTTTTAACAGTTTGCAGGAGGCAGCTCCTTGCTTTCAAGCAGAACAGGGCAAACTAACTTAGCGTGAGTGTTTACGTGTTTGGCCTAATGACGTACAACGTCCTCGACAACTTCTGTAGTCCTATTCAGCCACTTGGTAACAACCATCGTTTTTTCAGACATGTAAACTCTTCAGAAATCACCAGTGGGGTCACTGCTGATGTATTTAATGTGGTAGAACAAAACGTGATCCGTCTCTTAAATTTGTGTCAACCACAGACCTTATTTCGAGCTATTTTCCAAAATCCTATGGAGAATTCCCATTGACTCTGAGACGAGGGAACCGGTAGTGGTAAAATACTAACTCACTTCCGGGTTTTAGGACTCGTCACTGCACCACTCTATTCCTTAAACTGACTTTTGACCAATCAGATCTGAGTATTCAACTAACCGTGTAATAAACTATTATATATATCTGTAATTTTAAGGTTAAATTATGTCTACATACTTTTGCCAACATAAATCTGGCAAGTTAGCATTATCACAAAGCCGTGGTACCTCCATGACAGACCCGGCGCCGTGGGAGGGCCAGGCCCTCCCATTTGACATTCCTGCCCTCCCCCAATAAACACGTTTTGTATTATTTATAAAAATGAAATAAAATATATTTTTTTATTTTTGTAATTATAAATAAATTGTGAACTTACGAGCTACGATGTATGTGATGTCAGATAATAATATAAGAGTAATAAATGAAAAACAGGTATGAAATACTATATGACAGTAAAACAATAATACAGTGATTTGTCAAATATCCATAAAGAAATACAGTTCTGTTTCATATGGGTGTTGAGAGAGGTATCCGTAGATCTCTTAATTTTGCACTCAAAGTGCACCAGATTGATGTTTTTAACTTCAATATTTAAAAAAAAATCTTCCCGGGGGAACATGCCCCCGAACCCCCCTAGAGGAGGTGAGGACCCCCCTAGAGGAGCTTAGGTCCACGTCCCACTTAAAAAAATTAGCACTTTACCTCTGCTTACATCTATATGCCGCGAGCTGATTATCGAGCCTTCATTGTAACAGTCGCGGATACACTGTGTATGTGGGGAGTGTTGCAGTAGAACATTCCACTGTAGCGCCCGGTACATTAATGGGAAACCCTACATGACTGAGCTACCTCTATGAAACGTCAAGCTACCCCACAGCACCCCCAAAAGAAAATCTCTGGCACCGCCACTGGCCGCGGCACATGACGGTTTTGTGTGCCCTACCATGAAAATCATATGCCCTCTCTGTAGATTTGTTCTGGCGCCGGGTCTGCTCCATGACAATGAATTAGTATTAATTGCAAATAAATACAAATGATGTATAGAATTTTTGTAATTTTTCTTTCACATCCTCAGTTCTTCTACTGTCCACCAATAGAAATGGGGCCAATTTTAAACCGAATTAAAGGAGAGGTTGATGTTTCTTTTATTGTCTCTGTCAAACTGAAGAGATTTAAACGTTCGGTATAACAACATGAAACCACAAAAAACTCATCAGTAAGTACCCCTTTAGGAACTTCTGAAAAAAAGGTGGCTGCTAACAAATGGCTAAATGTGACTACTAAATGGATTAAAGCCAAACATTAGTCAGCCTATTATAACTATTTTTTGTGAATGCCAACGCTTACACGTTTTACTAAAGTGAATTATTCCTTAACTGTGTGAATATCAAATGTTAGCAGAATTAAAGGAGATGTAAAATTACATTAGACCACGTCCAATTTTGAAACAGGAAGTGTCTGCACACCATTGGCACGACTTGACATCAACTTTAACTAAAGAGCATCTTTGGTTAAGCTTACAAATAAAAAGGCATTAAAATGTTTTTTTTTCTTAGAGGGTGACGGTGACACCCCCACATCAGCACACTCAATTTGATTGGGAATCATCCCAGAAGGGATCCCAACACAGACGTAGAGTTGTCGAATTGTGTAGTGTAAACAAGTTATATGCTGCATTTGCCAGTTAAACACAAAGTGCACTTTAATTAGTCAGAAAAGAGAGTAAAAACCATGAAATAAAACTCCCTACTTCCTCAAATGTTTTCAAAATATTAATTTCAAAGACTGCCTCATGATGTGCATACTGTATCTCTGAAGCCCAAATAATAAAAATGGTATCAACAGTTATCAACTGTATCCAGTAACAAAAGAAGCATGTTCTGCTTCCAAAAACACTTCCATGAGGAGAAAAACACTGCTGTTTCAAAAACGATGCAAATAAAAAACACAAATGTGACAAAACACATGCAAATGAAGAATCATCTTCACAAACTTGACAACACATGCTCAGCATTTAGAAAACATTCATCAACTTGATGAAACATGCGCACCATTTATCAATAACGCTGCGTAAACTAAGCACTGCAAATACTAAACTTTGGAGAGAAAAAACGGGGACACTAAAGAGTGATGCACACAGCTGGGACCGGAGCGCTTGTTGACGTTCGTGATTATAAAATTGGCCAACTGTCACTTTAACTGAAAACGTATCTAAAATGTTTTATTGGCTTGTAGGCTATTAACAATGTGATCGTATGATCCCTTCTGATATAATTGGACATCTGCTGTAAGCTAGCTACCACTAAAACACTTAGTGTCCCCGTTCTGTTGTGTTTTGAGCTTTTTGCAGCGTTTAGTACTGGCAGCTTGTTGTTTATGGAGCGCTTTTAGTATATTAACTACATTAAAGTTAACCTTGATCGCAACACTGTTGTTGAGTAGACTTTAAACTGCATCATTTCATGTGCGCTGAAATTCCTTTTAGTTGATCTATATATTGCGTATTAATCATTTAAATCTACAAAGTAACCTAAGTAGGCCTAGTAATGAATGTTATATAAAATAAGTAAATAGTGCAACATTTGCCTTTCAAATGTTGTGGAGTGAAGGTATACTGTAAGAAGCATAACATAATCTACATACAAATGCATAACAATTACAAATGTATGTATTTACTTTCTAGTACTGGTAATAATACAGGAAACTGGGTTGCTTGGTTTGTTGCAGATGCGAAATAGTTTTTTGTCACAAAATGGACATAAGCCCCGCCCTGTCATGACGTCACGTATTACATTCGGTTTCTAGGACCCAATTGTATACTTTCAAAAGAACTGTGATATGGAAAAATCGAAGTATTATTATTGTTTTGGATTTTTTGTGGATTTTATTTCAGATATAATTTTGTCTCAGTTAAACAATAAAAAAAGATTCAGTCACTTGTGTCCGTTCCCCACCCCCACCTCTCGACGGGGTTAACAGAGCCCGCCCCCCTCGCCTCTCTCCCCGGCTGCCTCCGCCTCTCTTCCCTGGTCTATCATCCACACCGCTGTTGTTGCAGCCATTTTACCGTGGAGAGTCGGCACAGCAGAGACCGGAGGATGCCGAAACAGCGCAGTTAAAAGGTAATTCCGCTTTTTTATTGATCACTTTCATTAACATAGGTATCCTTCATGTTTCCGATCCCGTATATAAGACGGAAAATGTCCCGCGAGTTGAGGGGCAGCGGCCAGAGGGGTGAGGGAGCCTCCACAACTAGCTGCCCAGACACAGGAAAGATTGTAGGGAGAGTGTTTGGTGAGCAAGGGTTGTCGCTGCCAGTTCACAAGTCCTTATGAAAAATGGCGACGTCTTTTATCAAAACACTGAAGAGCTTCTTCCATTTCAAGTGTTCTGGTATTCAACTTGAGTGTTATTGGCGCGTGTAGGGGGCGCTCTAGAGTAAACTACGTAGGTTCGCGCTATTATTTCAGCTAGCCCTATTATTGGCTAGTCGGTTTACTATTTAGTGTTTTTATATATATTTTTCAAAATGCAGGGACACTAAAATATAGCATTTTGTGTGCGTTAGCTTTGTTGACCTTTAATCTCAAATATCTTTTTGAGTAAACAAAGAGCCAGGGTAAAATAAGGCGGAGGAGCTCATTGTGACCAGTTGGCTAGCTAGCTAGCCTGAGTAGGGTGACCAGGTGCCAGAAAGCCAAAAGTGAGACAGAGGGTATGTTTGTGTGGGACGCTTGTGAACTGTCAACGGGGGGGGGGGGGGGGTACACTGTGGACCTCTGTCAGCGCAACTTACATGATGCCATTTAAAACATATAATAATAAATCAGATTTTAGAAAAGGGTTTTAGCCAATCGAAATGGAATATGCGGGACATCGTCTCAATTTGCGGGACGCACCAAAAGTTGTGAAAACGCTGTGCAGTCCAGCGGGACATCTGGTCAGCCTAACCCCTAGATTCCACCGGGTCCGTCTGCGGCGCGTTACGGCTGCGCCGCGGCGATCGCGGCCACTCTAGTCAATGGGTGCTATTCCATCACACGCGGCGGCTCAGAAACGTCTCGGCGCAGGGCTCCTCTAAAATTAGGATGAATCCTATTTTTGGCGCGGCGCAGCCGTAACGTAAGGTCGGGCAGGCAGGAAGTGGAACGTTCAGAGCATATATATATATATATAGCATATATATATATATATATATATATATATATATATATATATATACACACACACACACACACACACACACACACACACACACACACACACACACACACACACACACACACACACACACACACACAAACTAATTTTGCAGACCCTATCCCTCCGTAGTCTTTCAAGTAGGAGGAGAAATGCCAGCGTTCTCCTCCGGTCTATTAATGTGTCATACTCACCAGAGTTCCCGTTAGCCGGTAATTACCGGACTATGACCGGTAAAATATGCTGAAGACCGGCAAATCTAAATCTCTCAGGTCAAAATGTCCGGTCAAAATAATTTCCCTTTAGCGCAATACCGCATCAGTTGCGCCACTTATGTGACAGACAAGAACAGTATGTGACAGACAAAAGAGTATGTGACATCATTTCAAAGTGACACAGACACATTGGATTAACCTTCAGCAGCGTTTTTCTCGTTTTAATGCCATTGAACACAACTTTTGATCAAAAACAGCAAAAGGTAAGACATATTTGCCGTTTTTGCTCCGTAAAGCTACGTTGTGTGTTGTCTGGGTTTGCTTCCCCTGCTGCGAGTTTTGATCGCACAGTGATATTTATATTTCTAGAATCTTTGGAATCTCAGCTTGCTAGTTAGGAGTGTAACGGTTCACAAACATTTCGGTTCGGTACGTACCTCGGTTTTTAGGTCACGGTTCGGTACGTTTTCGGTACAGCAGAAAAAATGATCACAAAACATAAAATATTTTTTGGGGGTTATTAATTATTATTAAACTGTGAATAATGTATTCACTCAAATAAATACAAAATATAATAAAATAGACATTAAGGTGCAGCATTTCGATGAACTGAAATAATCTGTATTTGAACTTCACTGTACTAGTACTCACAAAACATAAAATATTAGTTTTGAGTTTTTAATTATTATTAAACTGAATATTCACTCAAATAAATACAAAATATAATAAAATAAACATTAAGGTGCAGCATTTCGATGAACTGAAATAATCTGTACTTGAACTGTACTGTACTAGTACTCACCTAAGCAGCCAGCTTGACACTAGGACTTGCTTGCTTGTAGTGTTAATTTCGTCAGCTATTTTTTAATTTAGTTTTAGTCTTAGTCCTGTGTTAAATTTCCTTTTTAGTTTTAGTCATATTTAGTCACCTTCATCCTGTTTTTATTTAGTCAAGTTTTAGTCGACTAAGGCCTCCTTCACACGGGAACGTTTGCGTTTATGCACAGTATGCGTATTCAAAAAAGTCTTCCTTCACATGCATTCGTTTCATTTAACGTGTCTGTTCAAACGAGGCCGCTGGAAACGCTGTAGTACATATGCCGGGACTGTAAGTGGCGCTGTAACTTCCGCCAAAATACACCAAAAGCAGCGAAGAAGAGCAGCCCCGCAGCAATGTTGCCATGGCTACCCTTCTGTTTATGCCCCGCGGTGTATTTAGCAACATGTAGTTCATGTAATTCTCCATGTCCACTTGTTGCTGATGGTTGTGGTAGAGGAGCTGTAGATTTTGCACTAATATCTGTAGCATGGTCAGTAGCAGTAGCACTAGCAGTAGCTACTGACAGGAGGAAGTGTGTGTGGCGATTGCTGGTATTCAGCGGGATATAGTAATTTCCTCAGCATATGGATAAATGCAACGGGGAAGTTAACTAAAAGAAACCAAATCTGTGGATATTGCATCGACCGACCAAGAAGCACGTCTCCGTGGAGAGGACGCGCTCAGAAAGAGAGATATTCTCTACAACACCGGGTGAGATCGCTCCTCTGGGACACGCCGGTCCTCTGCCTACAAACATTTCTCTTTTTGCCGCCGACGGGCGCAGGAGCAATGAACAATAATGGCCTGGATTAGGCAGTAAAGACAAGTTTGGTGTATCGCAGAGCGGACTGTTTAATTTTGTTTGTGTTGTTTGGCTGGAAAATTGTCAATATAATGGATCAATGCATGAAATCTGACTCTGTTTATTTTGTTTAAGGAGTATATTGGGCGTTAACAATTCTGGTTTGCCTTTTATAATATTATTTCATTCAAGAACCCCTTGTGCGTTTAATGAACACAGCTATTTTTGATAGTTGCTACAGCAGTGAGCAGGAGAGGTGGGGCTATCGTTATTTTTTCAGGAAATATTTGTATAGAGGTGATTACACGGACTCTGTTGACCCCCCAGAGCGTTTCGTTTGCAAATCTATCCACCTTGGGACCCGTTATCGTTTGTGGGGTCAGTTTCTATCGGCCTTGTGTAAATAATAGGGCTATACGCACGCGAAACTATGCAGATACAAGCAGTTTTCTCCTCGTGTAAACGGCGCCTAAAAGTCTGAGCATTTTAGTCTTATTTTAGTAAAAGAAAACTAATTATTTTAGTCTACTTTTTGTCAATGAAAACTGTTGAGTCTTTTTTAGTCATCAGATTATATAGAACATTTCAGTCAAACTAGTCTAGCCAAAACCAATAATTTGTCATTTTAGTCAAACTTATTTCACAATAAGATTATATCTTGTCTTTATTTGATGAAAAACACAGGTTGAATGATTAAGAATGCAGCTTTGCAGAGAGTATCTGGTCAGGTTTGTGGTGTTTTTACCAGCTGTGTTATGGCCACATTGCTTCCCTTCTGATAAAACAATGCATTCGCTTTTTTTCTCCGCCTCATTGTAGCGAAAATGGGCCCAAATATCACATAGTTTCTTTTTCCCAAGCAGTGGTGGCTTTAGACTTTTTAGGATCGTAACATTTCCGTCATAATCCATTATTACCCGTCGAATGCACAATTTATCACTCACTCGCGCTGACGGGGGGGTATTCGGTTAACGCGAGTGCGACCACTGCTCCCAAGCCCTGTTGTTGCCATTTTAAATAAATGTTAAATAAGGTTAGTTAGACCATGAGTTAGACCCGAGTCTTCCTGACAGTTCATATTGTGCCGCTGCCCAGTGTAATTCAAATGTACCGCCGCGCGCAGCACAGACACACAGCTGCTGCCCAGCCACAGCACCGGAAATGGAACTGCTGGGAGAAAAACTGACTATCAGAGATGTAACGTTATCTTTGATAATATTTAGTCTCCTCATTTTTCGTCAACGAAAGTAAAGAGAGATTTTGGCATAGTTTTTATTTAGTAAACTGCATTTTCGTCTCGTCACTTTTCGTCAACGATATTGCATGATGATTTCGTTACAGTCATTGTTTACTGCCGTCTCGTCATCGTCTCGTTTCGTCATGGAAAAAAAGGTCGTTGACGAACATATTTCGTCATAGTTTTAGTCAACGAAATTAACACTACTTGCTTGTCATTGTATTTTCATGTTTTTTTTAAGAAAAATTAACTTGTCCACATTGATTGCCGAAAGGGCAGATATGCTGGCACTAACAATGTCTCCTGCTGTGGAGAACACCCTCTCGCTAGGGACAGAGGTAGCAGATACAGCCAGGTAGCGCTTTGCTAACATGGCAACATAAGGATATTTGGCGTTTGTAATAGCTTTGGCTCGGTCTGAACTTTTTGCGAGTGTTGGAGGCTTAAATGCTAGTGGGAGTTGGGTTTGCACTTCAGTAATTTTTCTTTTGGTACCGGTGATATTCACGTTCGGGTGATGCCTTTTCAAATGAGTGTGCAAGTTTGATGTATTGCCAGCCACGTAACCAATTTTAGTTGAACAATGCCGACAAACAGCTTTGGTTTGGTCCACTTGTCTTTGTCCGTCATCCTTTTATGTAACTGCGAAACCAACATGTTCCCAAACCGGAGACTTCAATGATGCTGGAGGATTTTCGAGCTCAACTTTATCTGCGTTCGCCATTTTGACAGTTCCTCAAATTACTGACTAAATTTGAACGCATCCCTGTGAACAGCTCTCATAGTATGCCTCTCGTCCAATGAAATGACTTGGTCGCTCTATGACGCGTTGAACCCAATGTGAGCAA